ATTTGCCAACATATAGCATAACACCCAGGGCTCACCCTGCCAAGTGCCCCCCTCAGTGCCCGTCACCCAGTCACCCCCACCCCCCGCCCTCCTCCCTTTCCACTACCCCTAGTTCGTTTCCCAGAGTTAGGAGGCTCTCATGTCCTGTCTCCCTTTCTGATATTTCCACTCATTTTCTCTCCTTTCCCCTATAATCCTTTTCACTATTTTTTATATTCCCCAAATGAATGAGAACATATAATGTTTGTCCTTCTCCGATTGACTTACTTCACTCAGCATAATACCCTCCAGTTCCATCCACGTCTAAGTACATGGTGGGTATTTGTCGTTTCTAATGGCTGAGGAATACTCCATTGTACACATAGACCACAGCTCCTTTATCGATTCATCTTTCGATGGACACCGAGGCTCCTTCCACAGTGTGGCTATTGTGGACATGGCTGCTAGAAACATCGGGGTGCAGGTGTCCCGGCGTTTCATTGCATCTGTATCTTTGGGGTAAATCCCCAACAGTGCAATTGCTGGGTCGTAGGGCAGGTCTATTTTTACCTCTTTGAGGAACCTCCACACAGTTTTCCAGAGTGGGTGCCCCAGGTCACATTCCCACCCACAGTGCAAGAGGGTTCCCTTTTCTCACATCCTCTCCAACATTGGTTGTCTCCTGTCTTGTTAATTTTCCCCATTCTCACTGGGGTGAGGTGGGATATCCTTGTGGTTTTGATCTGTATTTCCGTTATGGCCCGTAATGCGCAGCATTTTCTCATGGGCTTGTTGGCCATGTCTATGGCAGATGGGGATTTTAGTTGCAGAAAATAGAACCTAGACATCATTGTGTTAAGGAAACCTTAGGGTTTATTCACCCAAACCATTCTCCCACAAGAAGGAAAAGTGAGTCCCATGGAGAGGAAGGGGTGTTATCCCCTGTTGTTGGCAGAGCACAGGGTCTTGACCTCACCATCCGGCTCTGTCTCTGCCCTTCTGCACAGCAGCCTGGTGTGATTGTGTTTTAACTTTTTTTCTTTTTCTAACATGATAGAGCAGTGTTTAAATTGCCTGCGTTTCTCATTCTCAACGAGTCTATCTCAAGGTGGGAACATAATTATATACAAGAGGAGCAATGGGTATAGGTAACCTCTTTACTATATTCCAAGCCTAACTTTGGGGGATTCACAACCATGATGAGAGAAGTCAAATCCTGCATCTTCTCCTTCTTAATTCCCACTTGTCCCCCCCCCCCAATCTCATCTTAGCACTGACGGTCCCTGGTTCTCTGGTTCTGTGGCTCTGAGATTCCCTGGTTCCCTGGTTCCGTGGTTCCCTGGCTCCGTGGTTCTGTGGTTCTCCAGTTCCATGGTTCTCTGGTTCTAAGATTCTGTGGTTCCATAGTTCCCTGCTTCTGTGGTTCTGTGGTTCCCTGGATCTATGGTTCCCTGGTTCCATGGTTCTGTGGTTCTCCAGTTCCCTGGTTCCATGGTTTCATGGTTCCCTGGTTCCGTGGTTCTGTGGTTCTGTGGTTTTCCAGTTCTGTGGTTCTCCAGTTCCCTGGTTCTCTGGTTCCGTGGTTCCCTGGCTCCGGGGTTCTCTGGTTCCCTGGTTCCATGATTCCCTGGCTCTGTGGTTCTCTGGTTCTCCAGTTCTGTGGTTCTCCAGTTCCCTGGCTCTGTGGTTCCCTGGTTCTGAGATTCCCTGGTTCCCTGTTGCCTGGTTCCATAGTTCTCTGGTTCTGTGGTTCCCTGGTTCCGTGGGTCCTTGAGTCTATGGTTCTCTGGTTCCCTGGTTCTGTGGTTCTGTGGTTCTCTGGTTCCATGGTTCCCTGGCTCTGTGGTTCTCTGGTTCTCCAGTTCCCTGGTTCCATGGTTCTCTGATTCCCTGGCTCTGAGATTCCCTGGTTCCCTCTTCCCTGGTTCCGTGGTTCCCTGGTTCTGTGGTTCTCTGGTTCTCCAGTTCCCTGGTTCCCTGGTTCCCTGGTTCCATGGCTCCGTGGTTCTCTGGTTCCCCGGTTCTCTGGTTCTGTGGTTCCCTGGTTCCGTGGGTCCTTGGATCCATGGTTCTCTGGTTCCCTGGTTCTCTGGCTCCATGGTTCCCTGGGTCCCTAGTTCCCTGGTCTGAGATTCCCTGGTTCCTTGTTGCCTGGTTCCATGGTTCTCTGACCCCGTGGTCTCCAGTTCCCTGGTTCCCTGCTTCCCTCATCCCCTGGTTCTGTGACTCCTTGATTCCGTGGTTCCCCAGTTCCAGGTTCTCCAGTTCCCGGGTTCTCTGCTTCTCTGCTTCTCTGGTTCCCTGGTTTTGTGCTTCCCTGGTTCTCTGGTTCCGTGGTTCCCTGGGTCCGTGTTCCCTGGTTCTGTGGCCTCATGGTTTTTAGTCCGTGGTTCCCTGGTTCCCCAGTTCCTTGGTAGGCTGGCAGGGCTTCTGCAACATGCTCCTAGTTGGCTTTCCTTTTCCAGCTGCTCTCAAAGTAAGTCGGTCACCACCTCTTTCCTTAGACCTCTCCTTTGGTTCCCATTGCCTCCACCAGGAAATCTAAACTCAGTAGCTTGTCCTATAAGATCCTTGAGAGCCTGGCCTCTACCTCCTCGGTGGGACCTCCTCGCACCACAGTGGACACTCCTTGTTCATCCAGCATCTCTCCCAGTGGAAACTTCCCCAACTTCATGGCCCAGCCTGCCCTTCAGGTCCCACCCTATCACGAGAGCAGCCATATAATACAGCTGGTTGATTAGGGTCCTTGGGCCCCAGTACACATGGTAAAGTCCAGACAGTCAGGGTTCTATGCCCGACATCTCTGCTGGAGCTAGAGAAGATGCTATTTAATTAGCATTGCTGTCCCTGGAGGATATGACCCTGGAGCACCTGTCATCTTCACGCACAAAGGGAAAAGCTCCTTGTATCAAGAGAGTGAGCTTCCTACATAGAGGGAAGCAGAGCTGAAGGATGGAGAAGGAGAAAAGAGACACAACAGCATGGAAACTCCAGGATCCAGCTAAGCCTGAAGAAAGCCTGAGCCTGACCTTCCTAAGTAGCGAACCAACAGATTCATTTTTTTTGTTAAGCACATGTAGGGTATATTTTCGTCACCTGCAACCACAACCAAGAAAGTGCTGGCCACCGATCCCTGAGATCCCAGCCACAGAGATGTCCCCACTGCAGGGACACCATTGCATTTCACCCTAGTAGGCATTGACACACTTTCATCTCTTTGCCTGAATGCTCTTCTCTCTCTTCTGATGGTAGATTTGCTCTGTCTTTGCTGCTGTCTTTCCCAGCACCCCACACCCCCTGGTCTCTGTCCCCAGGCTTCTTTGAAGTCTGGTTCATACTTTTCTATATCCTGCAAGTGGCTGCACCCTGGAGTAGCTGTTTACGGGGCTCCTACTCCCTGCCACTTCTCAGCATCATACTAAACACACAGTGATTATTAATTAAAAGGCTCTTTGTTAGTAATCTCCTGTCTTCGATTATCTTCTCCCCACAGGGCACAGCGGGGTGGGGTGTGTGTTCTCACGGGGGTGTAACCAGAGTATGCGGTGAGGAGAGACGTCCACCAAGAGTCCCACCTCTTTGTCCCCATCCGTCAACAGCACCTGCTGGGCTCCGTCTGAAAGTGTGAAGTTTGAAGAGGAGTGGCTGGGGATGGGATGGGGTGGGGCGGGGAGGAGAGGAGAGGGCACAAGATGTGAACGACAAATTTGAAGATTAAAAACAAACAGGGCGGGACAGCAAGAGTTTTTTCTATTTGAGCCAACTATTCAAATTATATTAAACAACGGAAATGAGGTTTCCATTTGGGTAACCAGGACTTGCATTTATGGGTTGCATTTCTTGCAAGGGGCTCAGGGGGTAGAAAGCATGCCTTCCTGATTCATGAATTAAAGTGAAGCTAAATGAAATCCAGCAACTGTGGATGATAACCTTGCAATCCCCACAGCTGCAGGGCCTCTGGTGGAGGAGGATGGGGAGGCAGGCTTGTGGGGGACCCAGCCCCACTGGGCACATGAGTGCTTGTCAGGAGAACAGAAACAGGAGAGAGGAGCTAGCTTTCACAGCCTTGGTTCCTGGGTCTCTAGGTGGGGTTTCACCCCCGACCCCAGCCTGCTGTGGGCCACTGGGTCTCCTCCCCTGAGGGATCATCAGGGAACAGATGCCCACCAGAGGCACAAAGACGGAGGGAGACACAGGCCAACACGGGCACTGAGCCCCTCCGGAGCCCTGCAAGGTGTGCAGCAAGGGAGCCCAGTGGCCTCCTGCTCTCTGCACTTGCATTCAGCTTCTAAACAATGATATCCAGCAATTTCCAACTGACGATGTCGGCTTGCACATACACGTTTATTTCTGCTCTCTCCCTTGAATCCATCTACAAGATGAAGGTGCAGAAGAGGCAAAAACCCAGGTCTCAGAGGAAACAGGAGAGGAGTCCACTGCAGGCATGCTTGGGCAGGTGGAAGGAGGCTGGAGGAGCGGCGTCCCACTCTGTGGAAGGTGGAGGCCCGGACGCCAGAGCCCAGGTCAGGGCACGGCCCGGACAGCAAGCTGGCTGACCCCATGCAGAAGTATCCCTACCTCTCAGCCAACGTCAAGAGCCGATGCATCTGGACGCTGGATGGCTCAGTGGGTGACCGTCTGCCTCCGGCTCAGGGCGTGGTCCTGGGGTCCTGGGATCGAGTCCCACATCAGGCTCCCTGCAGGGAGCCTGCTTCTCCCTCTGCCTGTGTCTCTGCCTCTCTCTGTGTGTCTCTCATGGGTAAATACATAAAACCTTTTTTTTTTAAAAAAAAAAAGCACATGCATGGTCTGGATCCCCTCCCCCATCCCAAAGATGCCAGGTGCGAGCCTCCCCACCCACACCTCCGACTCCGAAGGCAGGATGTTATCTTGGAGAATTCGAGCCAGAGCCCAGTTCAGATGAGGGTGCCCAGCAGTGGAGAGGAGAGGAGAGGAGAGGAGAGGAGAGGAGAGGAGAGGAGAGGAGAGGAGAGGAGAGGAGAGGAGAGGAGATGGGAAGGCCTATACTGAAAACAGGGAGAATGTGTGGACATCCACATCCTGCATGGTGAGAGCTCCTCCTAGGCCTCTTCCCCACCCTGGGTGCTGGGACCCTGGAGGGGAAAGTCTACGCTCCAGGTCAGGAGGTAGAAGAATTCTTCTCCGGAGATAGTTCCAGTCACAAAGAAAACACTGGCAAATAGTGGGGATCCAGTATTGCCCTGTCCCAGGGCAGACAGTCCATGAGCCCGTGCGCTGTGTGGGGAGGAGCTGCGAGCGGCCCGAGTGACGGGGTGGAGTGAGCCCGAGCCCCAGGACGGGGCGTCAGAGCAGTGGCAGGGCACTCTCACTGCCAGGCTGGACAGCCTTCCAGAATACGGTAAGGACAGGCCTTTACAAAAAGTGAAACGAGCCCTTTTGGGGTTCTGAGAACAGGAGAGTCAGGTCTGATTGCATCCGCATGGCACCATTTAACTTGTCCAAGTAGTACGTGCTGGATTTCCTGGGACTGGCTGCCAAGTCCAGAGGCTGGTGATTTGGTAGGAATCCCTCATGTTAGTTAGCACGGATGAGGTTTGCAAAATGGTGATGTAATCCCACCATTCCGCCCTCATTTATTATCTGGAGTACATCTGCGGAGCAAGACATTTCCTCAACTCTTCTGTTACTTTGAAGTATAATTTGGTAAGAAAGGCTGGTTATGTGCTTGACTCTTTCCCTTTACTTACCAATTTTCAGAATCATGACTCAACTTCCCATCATCAGCCTAAGATGACCAGGAAATTTTTTTTTATTTGATTAACATTATAAACTCATGGATTTTTTTTAACCCTCTGATGTGTCTCCATTGTTGTAGTTTTGCTCTGAATGATGCTTACCTTGCACCATCTTTGGCCTGTGGAGGCATTTTTCGGTGCACTCCTGGGTCCTGCCATGGCTCAGCAGCCACTGGCCGCTTCCTCGCTTTCCAGCACAGCGAGATAGATGCTTCAGGCTTATCTTGCACAGGTTTTCCCCAGATCTGAAGTCAGCCCTTTCTTCCAGGAGAGAACACAGCTTGAACACTGGTGGTGCTCCTTGCCACTGGATCCATCCAAGTTTCTAGGTCTTTCCAGGGGTCAGGGCCAGGAAATGCACTGTTTAAGAGAAAATACATCACGAGTTGATACTGATACTTCCAACAAGTTTCGAACGACACAGTCATGCCTAATTCTTTTCATTTCATATTTGTATCTCTTTTCTTTCAGGATAGAAATTTTGATTTCTCAAAACTGAAACATAATAACTGACTTGCCTTAGCTCACAGTTTCAGAATGACAATAGCAATATTGTTACTAGAAACATACATTTTTTGCAGTTCCTCCCGCCACCCTTGCAGTGGATCCCCCCAGGGTCGAATGACAGTGTTTACCGTTTTCAATGATTCCTGGGTGCTGTGGAAGCCCTGAGGGGAAAAAAATTAGGTACGTTGTCTCATTTTGCTTTTGACTGTTAGGGTTTTTTTTTTTTTCCATTTTGATTCAGTTTTCTAAGTAACTTTGTAAAATATTTCTATGATTCTGAAGCCAAATCTATAAAACAAAGTTTATGCAGAAGAGCCTGGCTTGCATCGCAGACCCCTGCACCCTGTTCTCTCTCTCCCATTCTATATGCCATGGTTGCTCTTCTCACTCTTGTTTTTACCGAAATTTGGTATATATTCAAAGTCAAAAGAATCATAATAGGAGTTTGTGGCAAGGACAACTTTGATTTGACCTTAAAGGCATCAAAGTGTGTCAAAGGCCAATGTCAGTCCACATTACAAGTGAATGTTTGTGATGTCAAGAAGCTGCACACCCTGAGGACAGCCCTGGCGTGCACCTTCTAGACCCCAGTCTGGAGGCGGGGTCTCAGGCAGGGTTCCTTTGCAGAGAACAGCCCACACCGGCTGCTCCACTCAGGAAGCAACTTATCAGAGGACATGATAAAATTGCTGGGAGCTGAGCAAACAGGCTCCGGGCAGAGCTCACGTCCAGATCATACAACAGCACTGGAGCTGCTGCCTCGCTGCACCAGGAAAACAGTGGTTCCAGAACCATCCTGGGGTGGCGGAGCTGCTGCCACTGCACGGCCGCTCCTGCTGTGCTTACTCCTGAAAACTGATGCTCATGCCCTAACTCCAGACATCCAGAGACCACACACTGTGCTGCCGAGCAAAACCAAACACATCCACCTCTGGACTTAAAAGGGCAGGGCAGGGTGGATGGCCCTCTTTCCCCTACACATCCCAGGAGAGCACTCTTACAGACCAGGGCTGCCACGGTCTGAAAAGGGTCATCTTGGCTTTCCCTGCCCTGCAGTGCTGGAGGGAACAGAAGAACGATGGGCAGGACAGTGGGCACCCACCCACCCACCCACCCGATGCACGGGGAGGAGCTGTTTTGGTAACATTAGATGTGCAATAGTAGAACCGTTACTATGAAGACTTGTCCTATGCCTTCCTGAGCATTTTTTCTGACTGGTGGTGTGTGTGGGTGTGTGTGTGGGGGGGATTTTAAGGGGATTTTTTTTTTAAAGGCGACTCTTGCCTGTATGTGATGTGTGGCTTGGACATTAGATTTCAGCCTTTTGTCGGTATGCCTCTACCCTGCCAGTGTTATTGCTGTAATTTAGGCAAATGACTGGTTTTCAGATCCGACTTCCAGAAATTGTTCTGCTGCCCATCATCAGCAGGGAAGACAGAGATGGGGGCGTGGAGCAAAGCGGGGGTGGGGTGGGGGGGCCAGGATCTGCACCTCCTTAAATGCCCTCCAGCCTCCGGGAGCAAGTCTATCAACCGCATTCATTTAAGCTGGGCCCAGACGCAAGCTGAGCGACACACGGAGTTGGTGAAAGAGCAGGGGCGCACGGTCCAAGGCGCGGTGCGGAGGGCGCAGGCCCGTCGGGCGCGGGCAGCCCAGGGAAGGCTGTGCCCCAGGCCGGGAAGCAGGCTTCCCTCGCCGTCTCCATCATCCTTCCATACGTGCATTTTCGAAGTCTGGAGAAGGATACAGAAAGCCAGATAAACCGCGAGCCTTCTCGAGCAGGGGCGGGTGTTGCTGGGCGCGGGGACCCCCCCAGGACCCTGAGTCTAGGATCCCGAAGCCCGCGGCGGGTTCGGATCTGCGGCCGGCGCTGTTCCGCGGCCACCTCCGCCGGAGGGCCTCCCGGTGCCCGGCTCACAGCCCGGGAAGGTCCCCGGGAGCGGCCGGGCTCCGACGCGGTGGCCGCGGAGGCCGAGCGCTCCCGGCCCGGAGTTCAACTTCAATAAAAGGGTCCAGCCCGCCCTTGATCACGCGGCTTGCCTGACAGCCCGGCTCAGGCCCGGGCCTAATTGAGCCCGGGTCACCTGGGAATAGGTTCAAAGGCATCAAAGCCGTAAACCACCTCCAGGCCCCGAGCCAGAGCGGCCTGGCGAACAAAGAGCCCCCCCCCCCGCCCCCAACCACTTCAAACGCGCCCGCGCTCGGCGTCCAGATGGCGCGGGGCCGGGGTCCGCGGTGTCGCCCCCCGCCCAGGCCAGGCCCCGCGCTCCAGCCGCCCCGGGCCCTCCGTGCAGCTCCCCGCCTGCCCTCCGGGCCCTGCCGAGGCGCGAAGCCGCGGGGCGCGCCAGCCGGGGACCCCGCACCAGGCACCGCAGGCAGGGCCAACAGGTGGGCGCCGCGGGCCCCTGCGCTCCCGCAGAGGCTCGCTGTGCGCTCACGTTTGAAAGCGCTCGGAAGGAGGGTCTGCAAAGGGCGTCGGGGCTGGGGATCCTCGGAAAGCTGCGGTGAAAGACGACCCCCAAGACAAAGCCCGGGCAGAGGCTTCGCGTGGGCACGGGTCCCCGCGCGCGTGCGTGGGCAGCGGCGTCTCGGGGGTCTGGGCGCCGCGGTCTGGGCGCGGGGACCCCCGCCCACGCACATCCTCCTCCCCGGACTGAGTGTTCGGGCCCCGGCGCTGACTCGCGGCGCTCGCGGGGGGCTGGGGTGCCACCGAGGAGCACCCCGGGGGTCCCCGCCTCGTGCTCACCTCCGGGGAGCGCATCGAGGGTCGGACTGCGCCCCCGCGCCCCCGCGCCCCCGCGCCCCGGGGAGCTCCTGCAGCCCCGGCGGGGCCCGAGCTCCACGTTGCGGAGCAGACAAAGCGGGTCCGCGGTGCCCGCGCCCCGGGCGGCCGGAGAGCGGCCGGAGCTCCCGGCGGGGGCGCGGGCGGCGCGCAGGGGCCCGGCCTCCGGGGTGCCCGCCGCGGCCGGAGCCGAAGGGGGAGGCAAAACTGAAAGTGCCGCGCCGGGGGGCGGGGGCGGCCGGCGGAGGCCCCAGAGCTCGCCCAGCCCCCGGCCGCCGCGGCCAATCAGCGCGCCGCCCTCGCTCCTGACAACTATTTAGCAACCCAGCCCGGCTAGAGTTTCCAAAAAAGTTAGAATAACTTCCTCTGGCGGAGACCTCGGTTTTGCACTAGCCGGCCCTGAAACCGGAGCCTCGCGGGCAGCCCGGGGAGCGTGTGCTCGGCGGCCGCGGGCTTGGCCAGCGGCGCGCGCTCGGCGCCCGGCGCCCCCAGCCCCAAGCGCGCCGGGCGGGCGCCATGGAGGAGGGCTCCAGCTCGCCCGTGTCCCCCGTGGACAGCCTGGGCACCAGCGAGGAGGAGCTCGAGAGGCAGCCCAAGCGCTTCGGCCGGAAGCGGCGCTACAGCAAGAAGTCGAGCGAAGATGGCAGCCCGACCCCGGGCAAGCGCGGCAAGAAGGGCAGCCCGAGCGCGCAGTCCTTCGAGGAGCTGCAGAGCCAGCGCATCCTGGCCAACGTGCGCGAGCGCCAGCGCACCCAGTCGCTCAACGAGGCCTTCGCGGCGCTGCGCAAGATCATCCCCACGCTGCCCTCGGACAAGCTCAGCAAGATCCAGACGCTCAAGCTGGCCGCCAGGTACATAGACTTCCTCTACCAGGTCCTGCAGAGCGACGAGATGGACAATAAGATGACCAGCTGCAGCTACGTGGCCCACGAGCGCCTCAGCTACGCCTTCTCCGTCTGGCGCATGGAGGGCGCGTGGTCCATGTCCGCCTCCCACTAGCGCCGCGCCGCCCACGTCCGGACCCGCGCGCCCGGGTAGGTGCTGCGCGCGCGCGCCCCGCGCCCTCGGCAGCCGCGGGGGCAGGCGGGCGGCCCGGCCGCGCATCCCTCCTCGCGGGTGGGGTCGGGTGGGCTGGGGGGCCGCGGCGGCGGGGTGCGCTCTGGCTCGCAGCCGCGGGGCGGGGGGCGGGGGGGAGCGCCCGCGTCCCGGGGGGGCCCCGTCGGGGCCTTCTGCAAGCTTCCCTGCCCGGGGGTGCCAGTCGGGAGCGGGGGCGACGGGTGACAGCGTCCTTCGCATCCTCGCCGCTGCTGCGGGCGCCTGTGGGTGCCGTCGGGCGGGGGGGCATCGCCGGGGCCGCCCGCAGGGGCAGAGGGAGGGGAGGCCGCTGTCCCCCGCGTCCCCGCTGCCGGGCGGGCCTGGCTGCGGCCGTGCGCTCCTCCCGGGGAGCCGCGGAGCGCGTGCGGACGCTCGGTGTGCGCCGACGGCTGCCGCAGGGCGTCCAGGCCGGCGCTCCCGGGGCCGAGCGGGCCGGGTGGGCGCAGAGGAGCGGGCCGGCGGCCAGGTGTGTGCTGGGGAGGGCGCGCGCGGCGGGGTGCGGGGGACACTGCCCTGCGCGGGGGGCTCCGGGGCGCGCCCGGGTGGGCCGTGCGCCGGGAGCGCGGCAGCCGGAGCGCCTGGGCCGGGGCTCGAACCGCGCTGCCCGCAGGCAGGGGGGCCGATCCGGGGCTGCGAGCCGCTGGCTCGGCCTGGACCCCGGAGGGTCTGGGAGGGTGCGAGGGGTCCAGGCTGGGAAACAGGTTTGCGGGAGCGGAGGCGGTGCGGGCGGCCCTGCGCGGGACCAGGCGAGGGGCTCGGGCTGCCGAGGGCATTTGGAAAGTCGGGTGCGCTCTGGGAGAGCGCTCAGGGCGCCCTGCGCCCGCTCCCTTCCACCAGACACCTTGGAGGGCCCTTCAGACCAACTCTCACCCCGGAGGCGCCGTCCTTTCCAGAAGGCTCTGCGAGGCTGGTGGGCATCTCCCTTCCAAGGGCTCTCCAGGGCAACGCCAGATGTGTCGGGGGGGAGGGGGTAGAAATCCTTACTACTTCGTATGCTCTAGTTTCTCGCTCATCTTGCAATGTTTTTATAAGTCTCTACTTCACACAGAAGGAATTTAGATTAATCCAGAGCGTGCCCCCGCCCGTTCTCCCAAACATATCTATTTCTATTTCTTTTTCTTTTTTTTTAATGTGGTTCTCTAGTATCTGCAAATGTTTTTGCTGTGGTCGCACAAGGCACATCTAGCGCAGGTGAATTTTGTTTTTAAAGTTTTTATTTCTGTGCCACTGAAAATTCTTTTGACGGAATTGCCCCCCCCCCCCGTAAGATAATGATCGTTTTAAAGGTTTCTTTCTTTTTTTTTTAAGAAAGAATTTTTTAGCAGAGAATAACTTATGGGAATCTCCTCCTATCTTTGTCAAAAACAGATGGAAAGTATCTCAATCACATATTTCTCTAGGAAAGAAAGTTTGGATTGGCTGAGTAGTAAAATGCTACAGGGGGATAATACACTAATTCTGGGTTTTGCTGCCTAAATTATGAGCTTCCATTAGTTAATTCCATTTACCCTTTATACCATCCATAGTTTACAGGACATCTGAAGTAAGGACAAACAGATGAGGAATGTCATCTTTGTAAAGCATACATGTATAGCTTTGTTTAACAAAAATGTCAACAGAATTATCATTAAGACTTCCCTGCAGAAAATTATTTGAAAACAAATACCAGGAGATAGTACCTTAATGTAAAATTTAGTAGGATCATTTAAAAATCATTTTTAAATAACCACATTCCTCAAACTTAGAGAGTCAGAGCTCACACTTAAAGATCATATAAAAATAAAAGGCAATAATACTTTATTAATGTGTTGAGAATTTGGGGGGAAAGTCCTTAAAATATAACAGATAACATATTCAGCTGGAGAACGAATGATCTATTTGGGGGTCTAATTATTTTTATTTTTATATACTTGAATATAACTAATTCCAGTAAGCCAGTTTCTTTAGGTAGGTTGGTAACCACTCTCTACAAGAAGAGAAGGGAAATGTGGACATTTTTGATACACCAATAATTCTGGACACGTCTTGTTTTTACTTACCAGGCACGTTGGGCAAACATTTTTGTATTTTTTTTTAATCACATCAGTCTCTGTGAATATAAATACAATCTTGATTGGTCTGATTTCCTGAAAATGTCACTAAATGGCATTTGTTATTTACTCGTAATATTTTAAAGAAGGGCTAGTTATACGTACCAGCAAAGAATTTCTAGACCTTTCAGTAAATTGCGTGTGATTTTAATGTCTTAATATGAGGAGTTTTCACATATATGACAAAAGCTGCTTCCAGACCAACAGCAGCAACCGTAAAAAGCCTAAATTGTCCCTTGATATAAAGAGAAGCACAGGAAATGGTGGAGTTCGGCTGGTGCTAATATTTAGCCTGACTTTCTTCTTTGGCCTGTTCTTTAAACACACACGTACACAATAAATCAGGTGTCGTTGGGCAGTAAGCTGGGTTCATCTAATTGGGGAAAAAATATCAAAATAAGTTTTTAGTATTCTCATTAAGTGCCTCAGCTTTAGGAACAGGGTCAGGGGCACCTGGTTGGGAGGAAGGTGACGATTATCAGACATTTTTCCTATTCTCTGCTTTGTTGTTAAAGAAAACAAATCTTCCCTAACTCCTGCAATATGCACAGATTTTTTTTTAGTAGGTTACTGTACTCAACAAACTACTTTTTTTTTTTTTTATCCTCTGAGAACTTTATTACTTTGGAGAAAGGAGTATGATCCTCTCACCCTCTAAAAAGTGGGTAAGCCTGTTCCTGAACGTTTACTTCTTGGAGGTATTTGTTAACTTGCTGTATTTGGAATGCTAGCTGGTCTCAAAAGCAAACTAATTCTCCATGAAGAACGCACATGCAGAATCCCAGGAGCGATTTTGATTGATCAGAAGACGTGGAATGAAAGTCTGAGCTACCTGAAATGCGAGTATTGCTTTGTTATAAAATACCCGTCAATGAGATCCAGTATAGGGAGCTGATCCCCGTGATGTGGGTATTTTCTTTAAGTGTCTGTGGTTATTCTTTCAACCTTGCATGAAGACGTCTTGCTACGCATCTGGCCAGCGTGGGGGCTGGAGGGATGGGACTTTGAGAGTGGCTGTTTGAGGTCATTTGAAATATAGTACTTTATTGAGGTTTTCTGAAAACTGTACTATTTTCAGGCAAGTCTTGAGCCTGAAAGAATTGAGTTTCCATCATCTTTGCTTCACTGTATTCTGGATGGACGGCACAGACGCCAGATTCCTCTTGCCTGGCAAAAAAAGACCATAAAGTAAACTCTTTCTGAGCAGAGCACTATAACTCATAACTTTAGTTTAAATCTGGGCTTTAAAAAAAACAAATATTTTAATAAGCCAATTTTAAAGGCTGAACTTTTATGACAGTTTTTAAGCTTAGTATTTATATTAATCTATTCTCACTGGTGTCTTTAAAAACTCTGTGAATTCGTGCTGGAATGTCTGTTTATGTTTGTGTCTTTTCCTGGGAAAGGATAAATGTGCTGCAAAAAGCAAACCAAATACAAAGCTCTCCACCAGCAAAGAGTTCACGAATGAGGCAATAAAACTCAAAGAAGAGGTGAATAAGTTACTGTAGCCAAGAAGCAGCCATAAAGGAGAAGTAGAATCTAAGGGACATGGACAGGATGCATTCACAAGAAAAGCCAAGATGGAGTAGTAAAAGCAGGGACTGTTTAAAAAGACACTCTGCAGGGTCACCTGAGTCTACACGTGTGACAAGATTGTAGAGAATGAAATACACGCGCGCGCGCACACACACACACACACACACACACACACGAGTGCATGTAAGACTGGTGAAGTCTCAGGACTTCTGGAGATCACATCAGTGTCACTTTTCCGGTTGTGGCCTCGCATCAGAGTTTTGCAAGATGTTACCATTGGGAGAAACTGAGTAAAGAGTGCAAGATACTCCCTGTTATTTCTTACAACTTCATGTGAACCTACAGTTTTGTCAAAATAAAAAGGAAAGATATTCCACAAGAATTTAAAATCTTTTCTGTATTCAAACAAGCAAATTATGTAAGGTATTATTATG